TCCTGGCCAGGATTTTAAGGAGGGCTAAGAGAGCCAGGGGTCTCTGTCCTGGCATCCTCTGCAGGGGTGCAGCTGTAAAGCCAAGATGCATTTAGTGGAAAGACAGTGGCATCAAGTGTTTGTCTCTTCTCTTCATAGGCACTGGTACAATAAATGTGATGTGCAGGGTTGTGGTTAGGCTGGATGCAGTCTGCCCCTTCCCCTGTCCTGCTCAGCGTGCCCTGGGGGCAGCTGGCAGCTTCCAGGAGCAGTGTTATCCCTGGGGATCCAGCTGCAGCGCTTATTGAAACGCTGGCCAAAGGCACTGCTGGCAGCCATCCACTGCTGTGCTTGTTCTTGTGTCGTGGAATGACCTGCTGGAAGAAATTCAAGGAAATAGAAGTGACAAAAGCTACTGACAGGATGGATTTGGAGCGTTTTGTGGGGTAATCAGGTAACATGGGAGCTCCTTGGAGTAAGGAGCTGTGAGTTAGAGCTGAATCAGCCATTCCCATTGGCTTGCTTGGGGAACTGATTTTCAACAGGATATTATGATTTTTACTTTTCTTTTTTCATTTCTGTGGTGCAGCTCTTGCCTTTTCTAGCTTTAGGGAATCATGCCAAGCAATGATTTTCATTGCATTTGAGAGGTAAGGGAGTGCTGAAGTATGCAACCTCCTTCCCTCCCTCCCTCCGTATGGAAATGTGTTTTGTGTGAATCAATGACAGAAAAGCAACCACTGAAAATATATTCCCTTTCTTTCTCTTCAGTCATCCCCCTCCCCAAAAACTTCTCGAAGAATGTGGCTAAAACCAAAGCACTTTTTAAGTTACAAAGGAATAGTGTTGAGCTGGTGAAGCCAGCTGGAAATGAACATAGAATCCCAGAATTGTTTAGGTTTGAAAAGACCTTTGAATCATCAAATCCAACTGTTAACCTAGACATGAAACAAGGTTATCATTTTATTGAAGATTCAGAGTGGGTTTAATCGCATTTTATTTGGCACACATTGTTTTAAACCTCATCACCTCAGAGCAGGAAGAATTTTATGGCATGTGCTAATTATACAAAATTCACAAACACTGCTTCTTTTAATTTTGATTTTTCACAATGTGTTTTTCAACTATAATTTTCACATCTCACATTTTGCTCTCCAGTTTCCTGTGTCTTATGGTTAAATCTTGGCCATAAATCTTGCTCTGCTTTGTTAAAAATAATAGGTGTGCTATATTTCTTCATTTAACAACCTGCTAGATTAATAGTAGCTTTAAAACAATTAAATGTGGTTGTGCAGTTTAATATTCCCAGTTTTAATGCACCGTGAAGGAGAAGCGAGAGGCATTGTCTTTTATGGAGTGCTTGGGTTTCATGTACAGTCTGGCAATCTTTGTCTGACACCTTGGTGCTGGGATCTTCTCCTTACACAGGCCATGCCAAGAAAAGCTTTCAGTGCAGGTTTGGAAATCAAATGGCAACTCACCGGGAAATCAAATGGCAGCCAAGAAGGCTTTGGGGCTTTGGGATGCACGGCTGGAGCTGTGGCTGGGGCAGCTGCAGGCCGTGGCTTTCTGCGTTGAAGCAGCCATGCTTTGGAACATAAAATTGGGATCTTGTAAATTCTCCCTGTTAGTAAGGCTGGAAACCTGAGCAGGCCATGGTGACGTGCTCTGGTGTGTCCCAGAGCAGGGTCTGGGTCTCCAGTCTCCTCCCTCCAGGGGACTCCATCCTTGTGTTGTATTTCCATCCAGGCAGGCTCCATGGGGGACAGCCTGAGGCACGGGATCTCAGCCATTCAAAGGAGCCAGGCTTTGACACCAAAGCCATATTTCAGCAGAAAGAACAGAACTGATGCTTTCCAAACTGGCTCTGATTAAGAAAGATCATCAAACGCATATGTAGATCAGAAACCCAGAAAATAAAGTGTAACAATTCCTAAGTATCAGGAAATGTCACTGCAAAACTAGGCATTAAAACATGTGTGTGGACAGGACCAGTGAAGACTGGGATTTGTCTGGATGATAGCTATTATTCCTAGGTGTTGTAGTTCAGTTAAACTAGAAATATTCCTGCTAGATGTTATAGTTGAGTTTACAAGGGGCTTGTCCCAAAAAATGAATATTTGAAGCTTGGATTAAATAGCATTGCAAGGACTCCTGATCAGTAACTTCCCATGGTTCCACAGAAGCAATATCCTTTAAATTCAAATCCTTTGAATTCTTGCTCCAATTAAGCTTGACTTTGAAATTGTTTTGTTGCAGACACCTCTGCTGTGAGAGGATGTGGGACCTCACAGAAACTATGTTCCAGATCAGGTACTGCCATGTTTACTGCCCTGAGTATCTTCCCTGCCAAATCCTCCCCCTGGCCTGTGCAAAGCCTCCAGACAGAGCTCAGTGCCTCTTTGCTTCAGGCCCCAGGCTGGGTTCATGAAATATTTGTGGCTGTCAGTCTCGTGCATCAGCCAAGGTTGCACAGATGCAGAGAGCCCGTCTGAGGGATTTTAGAATTGCAAATGCCTGACAGATTTTTAACAGCTCTATATATGTATACACATATGTAAATACATATATGCATATGTATGTGTAACAGACTAGAAATACACACAAGAAATCTATGATTTCTCTGGTAATAGTGTGCCAAACTGGGCTGATGGAGATGAGAAATGTCTTAAATTGAACTCTCAAATCCTGCCTTGATTTACGTGTGTTACAGGAGTGGCACTTGCTGTGGTTTCTTATTGGAAATAATGGGGCATCTAATTTTAACACTTTATTTCTGCTTTCTTACAATTCTGTCAAGCCTTTGGTATATGACAAAACAGAGTATCTGCCCTGGCCCCCAACTCTGTCTGTTGTGTATCCTGGTTTCTCTGACATTTAGGAACTTTTTAAACCAGTTTGGCACAGTTTAATAATTTAGGAGGTCACAGACTTAACACTTGCAATAAGGTTTTTAAGAGCATAGAAACAGCTTTACTAGAGGCCAGGACTTTGTATCCCTGTGCCTGTGGAAGGTGTCCATGCCCATGACAGGGGGTTGGAAGTAGAAGAGGTTTAAGGTCTGTTCCAACCCAAACCAGTCTGATTCTGTGACTCCCTGAAGTGCCCCTGGAATTACCCAGGGACTGTGCACGTTCATCGTTCACCCCACAGCAAACAGGGGGTTTGCAGCACAGGTGTGTCACATTACAGACAAGGAGCCTGTGTTCAGTGTCTGAACCATGTGCACTTAGGCTGGACATCGCCTGGTGAACATCCACGAGGGAACTAAAATGGAGAATAGCTGCATGGAAAGTGAAATACTCTTTTATTTAGAATTATGGAGCTGGCACTTTACTGTTCCTGAGCCTTTCCGATTCTGGGCTTTCCCAGAACCAGAAATGGCTCTGTGCAGCTGCTGGTCCTGAATGTGACAGGCTGCTTCATGTTTTAGGTGCAGAAATCACTGTACACTTGTAATAACAGATGCATTCCCACTCTCTCAGGAAAATTCCTTTAATTTTTTTGCTTTGTGAGGGAAAATAATGCAGTTCAAGACCTGTGTCCTCTGACACAGCAGGGCTGCTGTGATTGGAATATTCAAGGTATCTCCTGAAAATCAAGGCCGAAGCTCTCCTCCTCTTTAATTGTGTCGCTGTGACGCAATTTGATTTAGTAGGACCAGTATTTTCTTTTTCATGTTGATAAGATGATTTCTGGCAGGGAGGTCAACTTAAAAATTCTAGTTAAGCTGTCACATGTATTCTGAGAACATTTAGCAGCAGCAGATCATGTGTTTGTGCTATGTGGGGCCAGCAGAAACTGATAGTGGTGGGTTGTGGTGTTTCACAGGAGTGATAATGCACAAGGTACAATACAATGGGTTTTAATTGGATTTTAGGATGCAGATGTTTGTAACGCTGGCTAATTCTGACCCTGAAAAAATTCAGGCTCAGTTGAACACTGCTGGTGTTCAAGGATATTGGAGTGGTTGATCTCTGCTTCCTGGAAAGTTTCTTCCCCCTTGGCATCTGTTACCAACTGGTTATGCACAGCTTCCACTGCGTGGCACCTTCTGGGGAAGTGCAGGTGTACGGAGTGTGCTAGTGCAGATTTCTGTCTGTGGAAGGTGCTGTGCAAGTGGATTTTGGGTTCTGCCCAGGCCAGGCACCGTTTCCTTTTGTGTTGTGTGCTGAGCTCCCAGCTGGTGGGGAGAGAAATGGCTTTGTGGTCAGACTCCAGTCTAGTGGGACCCTTGGGAACTGTTGGGACGGGACACGGGGTGATGGTTTTAAACTGAATGAGCGTCAGTTTAGGTTAAATATAGGGAAGAAGCTTTTTACCATGAGAATGCGGAGGCCCTGGCACAGGCTGCCCAGGGAAGCTGTGTCTGCCCCATCCCTGGAAGTGTTCAAGGCCAGGTTGGAGGGGACTTGAAGCAGCCCAGTTCAATGGCCCCCATGGCAGGGGCTTGGAATGAGATGAGCTTTGAGGTCTCTTCCAACCTAAACCATTCTGGGACTTAAAGACTGTAGCTGTTGCAGTCTGCCTTGGGTTAGTATGGGAACTTGAGGATGTGGTCCCGGGCTGGGGAGATGTTCTGGGAGTCCCTGCCAGGGTGTGATGCAGGCCGTGATGGATGCACGGACGGATGCGTGGATGGATGCACGGACGGACGGGCAGGAAAGTTGTTTCTCGGTGGATTTCAGGCGCATGGAGCAAGGCGGGGAGCGCCGAGGGTGCAGCGGGAGCACAGCGATAGGCTCCGTGCCGCGGTGCGTCGGTGCGCGGAGCCGGGCGGGTGCCCCGGCGGTTCCCCGGCGGGCCGGGCCGTGCCTGACGTGGAGCGCCGCTCGGCCGGAGGCGGAGCCGCCGCGGGTTTATCAGCGCCGCGGGTCGCGGCGGGCGCACAGCAACAGGCGGCGCGGGGGACCCGCCGCCTCTCCGCCCGCCCAGCCCGCCCCGGCCCCGGAGCCGCCGCCGGAGGCAGGGAAGGCAGCGGCAGGAGGAGGGAGCGGGCGGAGCGCGGCCGGGGCCGGGGCGCGGGCGGCCGCCTCGGGATGGTGCTCCTGCCCCTGTGGCTTGTGGCAGCCGCGCTCCTGGGGGCCCGCGCTGCGCCCGGCCGGCAGGTGAGTGCGGGAGAGGGGCAGCGGGGGGACCCCTGCCCTCCGCGCTGTCCCGCGGGCTCCGCGGGCGGGACCGGCCCGGGGCGAGGAGAGCCTGGCACGGACGGGCGGCTCTTCTCTCTGTGCCGTGCTGCGGAGCGCTGCATCCGAGCAGCCTGCAACCGGACACGGCATCCCCGGCCCGGGCTGGATCCCGCAGCGGCGGCCTCTGGGTCCCTTCCTTCTGGACCCTCTGCCCCTAGGTCCCCTGTGCCTGAAAGAGCAAGTACCAAGCCGGCAGTGAGCTGACCGTGCTCGGATAGCTGCCACCGTCCCTGCGGTCACTGTGGTCCCGTTGGCTTTCCTATTCTCTAGCCTTGATACAAAGAGCTGTCAGCTCACTGCTTGCTCTCTGCCCGAGCACCCGTGCTTCTTGGAGCTCATCGCTTTCCTGCTGTTAAACCCCCTCTTTGGCCACCAAACTTACTTTTTGGCACAGTGTCACAACGTATAGAACGGGTCATTCAGAATCAGGATTGCTTAGCAGCTCTATTTCTGTCAAACTTGCTGTGGTCTCTGTTAGTATACTGGGAGAACAGCTGTTTATTCAGTTAAGGAAGAACTGCCATCCCTGGAAACCAAATGAAGAAACGTACAAAATAGTGCAGAACAGACCAAGTGATTTTTCAGCCTTCTGCCATTCCCCATTGCATAGTAATTACACTAACAACTTTGTGCATGTGTTTCTTCTTTCTTCTGCAGGCTGGTAAAGAACAGCAGATCCAAAGAGGTAAGCCTTTTTAGCTATTATTCCTGCTATCAAGACAGAAATAAAAGAAGTTAGCTCAAAGGGTAGTTATTTCTGGAGAAGTGATCTGTATGCAGGCAAGCATTCCCTGTGCACCCCCCAGCACTGCCACCCAGAAGGGTTTGTAGCTGCAGTGACGTGGCACGGCTTGAATTTGCATGCCCTCTCGTGCTGCGGTTTTGCATCTTTATGTGTCTGTGCTTCCCTTCTGAAATACGAACCAGTCAAAGTTATAAAATCTGTGGCTGCTCGCTGTTGCCTTGTAAACTGATGGACCTGGGTAAGAAGGTGCTGTGCAGCGGGTTCAGGGTCAGTGGCACACGAGGGAGCTGAAGGGAAATGTGCCTCTGTGTGCCCACAGCGTGCTTCCTACTGAGACTTCAGCCTCTAGGACTCTTCCCAAAGAGAGGGAAAAGCTTCCTTTAATTGGGAGGGTGCACCCACAGTGTAAATTTCAGGAGATCTGTGTTCATTTAGAGTAACTGGCAGTTGGGTGCTCCACAGGATGGAGGAGGTACTGGAAGGATGTGGAAGCTGGCATTCCCAGGGCATTAGTGGCAGGGAATGCCATTCTATGTACTCCTTCCCTTAGCCAGTGTGAAATGAGTCTTTGACCATCCCAGTAGTGAGTGTGTGTCCCTGCACACGAGTGCTCTCTGGAGCTCTCCTGCAGTGGGAATGGACCCCAGGCAGTTCTGCTCCAGCTGTTGTTGGACCTCTAGCCCTGAGGTTTTGGTGCAGCTTTTGTTCAGAAAAGAATTTCAGGCATTTCTGTGAATTTTGGAGGCCTTGTCTCAACTTCAGTTCTGGCACTGTGAGCTTCTGGGCTTAGGCTGGTTTCTGCCGGGATCAGTGAATAATGGGAACAGAGACAGTGAGGTACATTCAAAGCTACCTGGCAAACAGACGGTTTTTCCAGTGGTATGCTGATCCTGTCTTTTATTTTGAGTCCTTTCCATGAGAAATGGATTGTATTTGAATTTCAGAAACCATAAGCTATATAGGAATGTGTCTTTTAAATTACACAGTACATCAGGCAAAATTCCTGAATCTGGAAAATAACTTTTTGTCCTTTAACGTCTTCCTTTCTTCCACAGCCCTGGCACTGCTGTAGTCAGAAATATTTGGGGCTGAATTTGATCCTGTAGATTGTGATTCAAAAAGTACAGAACCATAGAATCCCAAAATGATTTGGGTTGGAAGGGACTTGTATGATCATCTCATTCCAAACCCCTGGCCATGGGCAATGACACCTTTCACTGTCCCAGGTCACTCCAAGGCCGCTCCAACCCAGCCCCATTCCAGGGATGTGGCAGCCACAACTTCACACCATGGCTTACTCAGCTGAGAGCTGTAATGACTTGGAGGTAAAACCTGCAAATGCACTGCCCTACTTCTGAGTCCCACGAAGTATTGCTTTGCATTGGTGGTGTGTATTTTGAGTTGGCCCAGGGCTGGCTCCTGACAGCAGCTGATCTTTTCCTTCAGCCTGAAAAGTCACCTAGGGAAATTAAGGCGCCTGGGGGTTTATTTCTGTTAGACATCATCACAGGGATAGCAAGTTAGCACACTTAATTGCCTGCATTGATGCACAGAGTGCTGCAGTGCCTGGAGCTGTCAGGAGGGAGTCCTTGTGTGTCACTCAGCCTGAAGGTGCTGATGCTGTGCTGCACCTTGGCCTCCCACACAGCACAGCTCTGTCCCTGCTCAGTGCCACTTCTGGGAGACACCTGTGGCACAACTGTGCTGGGCCCCACCGCCTGCAGGAAGCACCTGCAAAGCACCTGGAGCTGTGCAGAGGCTGCAGAAAACACCACACCAACCATCTCCTGAGCTGTCTGCATCCCTGGGACAGGTGACAGTGAAGCAGAGAAATGAGGACACCAGAGAGGTGTCCCTCAGCAGCCTCTCTCCTTGCTTTCATTCATCCAGCTTACCATCTCCAGATCCCACACAGCTTCATCCCGTTTCGGGTGCAGAGCTGAGTGGAAATTCTCAAGGAATCTGTCCCCCTTGCTTGTCTTCTCTTTCTTTCTGGGCATTCCTGCAGCCAAACCTGAAGGCAGGCAAACAGAGAGCAAAGGGTAGTTCTGGAGTGACCCAGGTTGTTGAGAGGAGGGACCAAAACTGCTCTTTTGTTTCTGGAAGCCACCAGCCAACATTGAAGCAGAAAAGGGTCATGACAAAACCCCTGCTGGGCTGGTTCCAGTTGTCTCCACAGCATCCTCTCTTTATTAAGCATCACCTTGCTGGGTGACTAGAGCAGCTGTGGTAAAAAGTCTAGGATTTTCAGGCCTCTGTTGAGCACAGCTGTTGTACAGTGCATGGACAGCTCTTGTGAGGCAATGCTGTTAATTCTGCAGTTTCACCAGGTTTTGAGGGGAAGGAAAGCCGGGATAGCTCTCTTCAGAGGCATTCTCTAGCTAATTATGTTTTGGCACAAAATGAAAGAATGCGTTCTTCCTTCTTAAGTGCTTCCTTTCAACCTAAACATTGTGCAACTGGAGCGGCATTTTAAGGCCAGATTAGAAAAAGGATGAAGAAAATTTACAGTTAAGTGCTTTTCCTCTTGCTCTGATCAGCACTGTCAGCTTTGAATTAGCAGAGCAGATCGGCCTTGAAATTTTAGCTTAGGAAAGGGAACACCTACAGCTGGGATAGCATTTCCTCAGAGCATGCAGTTTGTGGAAAAAGGGTAATGTAAGTCAGCAGAGGAGTTCAGATGTCGCTGGGATTCAGTCTTGTCCCATTTAATTTTAATTGCCTTTGAACAAAAGGCATTTCCTCTTCTAGCTCAGCATTTACAAACTCTGGAAAAGGCTTTCGCTGACTCAAAACCTTGACAGTTGTTATTTTCCACCCTTTGTTCCTGCCTTCTTGGGGCTAGCTGGCTGCTCTTATTAGCCAAATAGCCAGGTTTTTCTCCCCAGCCTGTGGAAATGTGGGAATTCTGCTGCAAGATGTGCATAGCAGTTTCTCAGCCGTGCGGTGAGCACAGAACTCCATCACCAGACTGTGGTCTCTGGCTCTGAAAACCCTGCTTAAAGAAAAAGGAAAGCAAGCCACGAGGAATCTCAGCGAGGTAGAAGATGGAATGTCAGCCTGGGAATGAAATCCTGGTGTTGAAGCAGCAGGAATGGGAGGATCTGTGTTTTTACTTTGACCCAGTTAGGATGTACAACCCAGCAGCTCTGTCTCCTGGGCATGGCCCGGTGTCTAATTAATAAAAATGACTTTAGAGTTTTAATTTGGTCCCTTCTCTAAGGAGACAGATTAACAATCCTGCGCAGAATTCCCAGTGTTTAAAATGGGAATTATCCTAAGGATAATGACCCAATTAGGATGCCAGTTTTAGAACCTGATCTTGTGGGTGTATGGCAAAATAGGTGGAGTTTGCTGCTGCTGAAACTCACCCTGTGGCTGCTGGCTGTAGGATGTGGGGTACCAACATCCTTGGGGCTTGGAAATGACTTTTCACATTCCTAGGATACAGAATTTGTATAGTAAGATATTTATAGTGCGAGAATTTACATGTGCATCCTACTAGTACCATAGATTGTGTTTCTGTCAGATTCCTCAGTAACTGGCTGGAAGAATATTAAAAACAGATCCCTGAAGCCATTAGGAACATTTTCTTACTGAAGGTACTTGTTGAATGTGTGAGTCTCTTAAAACCCGCAGCCCTTGCTACCAGGAGAGAGGAACTGGCTGCTGAGCTTTTCCTCTACTTGGTTCTCTTATCAAGTGTGATGCACACTGGGAGCAGGTGAAATTTAGCTCACTTAATTAAGTGTATTTATTTGAGGAATTCTCAGTGGCGCTTGGGCACTGATACCAGAGCTATCAGATCTTGAAGCTTTTCAAATGAAATTGTCAGTAATATCACTCTGCTACTGCTTTCACCAGCTCTCCCAGGAAGAAGGGAGTAGAGAATAACTATTTTTGTGGAAGATGTCTTTTTAACTCTTACCTAGTCAAATAGAGAGGCTTAGACTTTGACCCATTCAGAGCAGAAGAGTGGCTCACAGCTTGACCTGGCTCTTCCCTTACAGCCTGAAAACCAGACACTGAATATCCTGATTGCTGCCAGATTACAGAAGTCTCACTGAAAAGATAACTCATTTGAATGGATTTGTTTTCCAGTGGTGTGAAATTACTTGAAGACTTGTTGCCTTAGCTGAGGGTTGTGCCATTGAGCTTCTGCAGGATTACAAACAAAGTGGCTTTGCTGGGTTTATGGCTTCTCTCAGCAGAACTAAAGTGCAAGATTTAGGCTCAAAATTGTGCAGATCAACCAGATCTCTCATTGTTTTTGATCTCTGTTGCTCAGAGGAAAGGCAGCAGCAAGTTGCTAGGTAGGGGGATTTGTAGAAGGAAAAGTTACTGCCTTTACCAGTGCTGACATGGATTAATTTATCAGCAGCATGTGATCTGCTGGATTTTTTCCCTGTTTCTATTTCCTGAGAAATGGGTGTGCAAATTGTGCTTATAACCAAGCTTGGCTCTTCATTTTCAAAAGCTTGATGGAAGTCCTGACACAGAACTGCTGTGTACAACAGAGCTATGTGGCATTCCTTACAGGAGAATTCAGAAGGGTCTGTGCCTCTCCTGGGGCTTGCCTTTCCTGTTGGGCAAGCCTGAAACAGGAAACTCCCCTGATAAATGTCAGTGAATATTTCAGGCTTTTCTCTTTATTTTTTAGGAAAATCAGTTTTATAATAGCAATTGATAGGAAGAAATTGTTCCCTGTGATGGTGGTGTGGTCCTGGCATAGGTTGTGCAGAGAAGCTGCAGCTGCCCCATCCCTGGAATCCAAGGCCGGGTTGAACGGGGCCTGGAGCAACCTGGGGTAGTGGAGGGTGATGTTTCTCCCCCTGGCAGGGGGTTTGGAACTGGATGCTCTGGAAGGTCCCTTCCAACCTAGAGCATTTTGGGATTCCATGATAAAAGAGGAGCAGTGACACGTGCGTAGCTGAAACAGGCATCCTAAACCGGGATTTTTGGAAGGGGAGGTGCGAGGCGGGGGGGTCCTTCAGCCTTCGGGCTCATTGCAGGCCCCCGACCTGACTGTGCTGTGGTGTGTGGTGCGTTTCTTGGCAGAGCTG